CGAAGCTTGTACATTCTGATATAAATATTTTAATGTCCTCTCCTTGCTGAAGAAAACCCTCTTCAAAGAGTGAAAAATATTAATTTTTTTAATGATATTGAGGTTTTTTTCTATAGGTGGAACGTATATGTCCCAGGGGCGTTAACAGCATGTGATTATTAGTTTCTCAATGGTAATTTTTTTGACCACTTTTCTCTTTAAATATTTAATAAATTGAGCTGAAATTTTGTACGAAAGTCCAAAATACAATAAAGAAGGGCAGTGATGTGCAAAAGATTTAATATTTTGAAAATCAATTTCTCGTCTTTACCAATTTCAAAGAGTTTTATTATAATTTATTTTTGAATTATTAAAACTTTTCCACATCACTGCCCTTCTTTATTATATTTTCGACTTTCTTGCAAAATTTCAGCTTAATTTATTAAATATTTAAAGAGGAAAGTGATCGAAAAAATTACCATTGAATTTCTAACAGCCACATGCAGTTAACAGCATGTGACTGTTACAGAAATCAATGTTAATTTTTTCGACCACTTTTCTCTTAAAATATTAAATAAATTAAGCTAGTTTTTTGTGAATAACTCTAAAATATAATAAAGAAGAGCAGTGATGTGCAAAAGTTTTAATAATTCTAAAATAAAATTATAAAAAAATACTTTGAAATCGGAAAAGACGAGAAATTGATTAAAAGTGATTTTGAGAACTGATAATTTTAAAGTTATTTTTTAATAAATAATTTTAAAAATATTAAAACTTTTTCACATCACTGCCCTTCTTTATGATATTTTAGAGTTATTCACAAAAAAACAAGCTTAATTTATTTAATATTTTAAGAGAAAATGGTCGAAAAAATTAACATTGAATTCTGTAACAATCACATGCTGTTAAAGGATTAATATAGATACCTACTATTTGAATAGAACAATAGTAGCAATATTGAGGTGTTCGCTTTAGACACATTTCCCCTAAAGTTTATATATGCTCGAGAGGTTGTTTGCGTATACAAAATACGTTTTTATATGTATATACATATTTATGTTTGTGAATCGATATCAGGTAACCGTGCATTTGATTTCTGGATAGAAACTCAAAGGGGAGGAGAAATAAAGAAAGAAAAAGAGAAAACAGTCAATAGAGATAGAATGAATAATACTAGAGAAGGAGTTCTCTGTATATGTATATATATGTTGGAAAGAGGCAATGCTTGGCAATAGCCATGAAGCGGACGATGCGATGGTACACCGTAATGATGATGGCTGCTACGATAGAGCACGATTTGCCGATGGCTATCTAACTTACACACGAGCACATGCTTAATTTTATATACAGACGTTCTAGCAAACAGTCGAATATATTTGTATATTCATGAATTTCACTATTATCCGTACATTAGGTCACACTGCAGTTACTTTGGTCATCAATATTGTACATTTCAGGGGCAAATGATGCTATCTTGTTATTTTACAAATCCTGCTCTGAACATTTATATCGTTAACTTTCTCCCCTTCCTACTATCTCTCTTCCCCCCTCCCCTTTTTTTTCATTCGAATTAATTGTTATGTTTCATGCAATTTAGAATTTTCACACTTTTACATGTACCTATTAGGAATTTTACATTTTTTAATCTCCGCATTCAATTATTTCAGAATTAACTTTCAAAATTTGAATGTTCTTTCATTCATTCACTTTTTCTGTCCCTCACACTCTGAAATTGTCTTTTGTTTATACTTTTGGTTTTTTGTTATCTTTAGGTAGATTGTATATTATATTATTATGTTATAATTATTTTTATTTTATAATTAATTTAAAATTGTAATGATAAATAGAAATCATCGGAATTTTTTTTAACTTCTTTTCATTAAAAGATTAAAATTTTGTTAAATATTATGTTTTGTCAAATTGAAATTATGCAAATTTTTGTTCCTTGCTTCTGAGGAAAATTAGAAAATTGTTAAACAACTGTGATTAAGAAATAAAAATTTTATTTAGTTTACATTATTTTTGTTTATGAATCACAATTTTTTTATCAAAATTATTTATTTTGTTTTATAAAAAGAAGAAAAATATTTGCACAATTCCTATTTTTTATCTTATTTTTAGAACAGGATTTTCTACAGGAATTAGGACATTCAAAAATTTTAAATTCAAACCTTTTTTAAATTAAACAACATATAAAAGTATTGTTATAAAACATGAAGACATCGTTTGCTCCGAGTCGAAGACTCGGAGTGATCGATTTCTTCATGTTTTCTAATAATTAAGGTTGTTCAGTGATAAAATAATTATTTTATATTATAAGAATATTTGAATAATTAAATAAATAAATAAATATTGTTACTGTAACTTCATCAAAATTATTTTCATCATTTTAATTCAATTATTATTTTCTAGAATTTTAAATTATTCTTTATGAAAATAATAATTGAATTCCTTAAAAAAATTGTATTATTTATAGAAATAATTGAATGTTTACATACAATTTTATTAAAATTTTTTTTTTAATTTCGTTTGACTGATCTAAAGTGTTATGCAAATTATTTCCCTTTTTATTTATAAAAATACGAGAAAATTGTTAATTGTTAAAAAAATTTGATTAAGAAGTAGGAAATATACCCACTTTATGCATAACTTTTATTTTTCAATAACAATATTGTTTACAAACTCTTTTTTTTCTTTTAAGAAGAAAAACATTAGATATATATTCACGTTTCTTCATATTTTTGTAGAAAATTCTCAATTTACATAAAGAAATAATTTGCATCAATTCTATTTCTTAATTTCAATTGTTTTAATAAAATTCAAAGTTTTTCAAAAATAAAGAAAAAAAAAATGTTTATAAATTAAATTTGTCAAATTAGAAAATTTTATTGAAAATGGAACTGAAAATTTTTGAATTTTTAGAAAATAAAGGAAAAAATTTTATTGAACAAAATGTTTTGTTAAATTTATTTACGAATATCTTTAATTATTGTAAAATTATTCGAAAACAATAATTTCTTTTTTAAATATTTTAAATTAGAATTAAGATTTTCAAAAATTTCAAATTCAAACCTTCTTGAAATTAAACAATTTAAAAAATATTGTTATAAAACTCGATTTCTTTATGTTTTATAATAATTAAAGAGGATCGAGTGTTAAAATCATTATTTTATATTATAAAAATATTGTTACTGTAACTTCTTAAAAATTATGTTCATATTATATTATTATCTGAAATTCAAACTAAAATTCATTTTCAATTCAATTTTTATTAGAAAATTCTACGAGAATTCAATTATTTAAATACAAAAGTAAATTATTAATTGCATAATTAAATGTTTCTTAAGAATTAATTCTTGTAAAGAATTTTATTCACGAATTTTTAAATAATTGAATTCTTTTGACAAATTTTAATAACATTTTTTGGATTAGCCACATTTTTTAAGGAATTTGATTAAAATTGTATTACAAATAATTGAAATTCTGCTATTAGTTTTATTATTTCTTAAAATAATTGAATTATTGAGAAGAAACTTATAAAAAAAAATTGTAAATATTAGAATTCCTGTGAAATTCTTATTATTTATGAAAATAATTATATGTTTGCGTAGAATTTCATTAAAATTGTTTTTCAATAATTGAATTTTTTTGGGTAATTTTATTAAAATAGCAAATATTGGAAATTATTATTATTATTATTAATTGAGGAAATCTTTTGAAAATAATTGAAATTTTGACAAGAATTTTATTAAATTTTTTGAAAATAATTGAATTTTGAAGAATTTTTTTATTTATGAAGATAATAATTGGGATTTTGTCGAGATTTTTTTGTAAATTTTGAACATAATTGCATTTTGTAATAAGAATTTTATTACTTTTGAAAATAATTGAATTTCTGCAATCATTTGTAACTTCTTCAAAATTTAATTTTTTTTAAGGTTTTTAACTAAAATTCTTCTATAAACTTGTTTGAGAATTGAGAATTGTTGCTAGTATATTTTAATCTCCTTTCAATTATTTCAGAATCAAGTTATAATTCGTCTGATATTTCCAACTTTGTGAGATGAAAATATTTTCTTTTTAAATATTTAAATAACTATTTTATATTCTGCAATTTTTCGTCATTCAATAATGCGTGAAAGATGTGCATATAAAAATATACAATAAAATTGTTACGTGGTATTCTCTATTCTGTATAATATGACCAGTCTATATTGACGCAATTTGCATGAAAATTGGATACTATATATATAATGCATAAAGAAGAGTTTTCCATTTATGATTAAACATTTTTTAAAAATATTTTTAATACCTAATAGTTATTGCAGACTATACTTTTTTCTTCTTTAAAACTTTAAAGTTCCATTTTCATTTCTAGTTTCATAAATACGGCTTTTTCTTCTTTTTAATATGACTAATGGTTCTGTTTCGTGATAAAATTAATTAGTTTTCTGTAATTTACTTTTCAATTGAGCATCATAATGTAATTTGATTTTCACAACATTGACCTAGAACTTCTCCATTGTCGATTAATCGATGAGAAAGCATTAACCTCCTTCCGGTATTGATTAATTTTACAGAAAGGAAATAAAACAACCCTCAAGGATAAAGAGACTATTTTAAAGTTCAAATATTGAATCTAAAAAGAAATATGTATTAATAAAAATATTCTATTAAAATTTTCCATAAATTTTATCAAAAATGAAAGATGAAAAATATCTCAAAAATGTTTGCAAAAAGAAATAATTTTTCAATTTTAGTAGTGCAGAAGTAGAATTGTCGTTATGAGATAGATATCACAATGATAGTGATATAGTGCTTTGTTTCGTGATTGGTGATCGTAACCAACGGTGCAGAATCGTTTAAATTTGATAGACAATCAGAATATATACAGATTGCATGCAATCAACTTTAGAAAATTTCAAGTTGAGATCCTCGGGAAGAAATTCGAAATTCTAAAAAAAAAAAATTAATAAGAAAGTTTCTAATAATTAATATAATTTATTGTTTTATTGTTACAGATTTTAAAAAAAGGCCCCGTAAACGTTTGGATAACCAGTGGACTAGAAACATCTCTCCTCGACCGATGAAAAAGGGATAAGAACTGAAATATTAAATGACAATGAATCTGACGAGGATCTTTAGCTGAAAATGTAGTGTACAAGACCAAACATTTATTCTTCTGTAAAACTCCTTTTTAATGGCTTCGATAGTGAACCAAAGCAGTTTTTTTTAAAAGAAAACTTTTATTTGAATACATTTCCATTTTCCTGTTTAGCCAAAAAAAAAAAAAAAAAAACAAAAAAACAAAAAACCGACCAATTTACTTATTCAATGAGATAGTCGAGTATTAAACTTAAATAGACCAACTGTCAATTATTATTGACAAATATCAGAAAAAGAGTATAAAAAATTGTTGGGTGTATAATAGATAATAAATAATTAAAGAGATCTGAAGATGTATAAGGAACCGAGTATAATGACTGGTAATGGAACAAAAGGTGATGAAGCTGATTTGGTCAGTAGATTTCTAGCACCCCTTTGCTCTCGAGATGAGAATGCAAGAGACGTCGCTTTGGCGAATGCCAGAACAACAGTTGAGGGATGGCTCGGTGGAGTCGGCAGTCCCAATCATTGTGGAGAAAGAGTGGAGATAGAGCGACCTTGTTCTACTGGAGTATTTAGAGGACAAGATGGAAGGTAAGATTTCAAAATAAATAAAGGTCAAGTTTCTTGAATTTCCTACAAGATTTATCGCAGTTCATTAAAACTTTATTGTCAATATAGTGGGAAACATTTCATTCTTCCACTTTGTCTAAATGGGGTTAAAAATATAACACAGGACCACAAAATTTTTTTTTAAGGAAGTATTGACCGAACTATGTTTTTTATATGTTTTTTTTTAATTTATCAGATTTACTTGAAACTTGTTACTCGAGGGTTTTTTTGAGTCGCTGAATACGAATTTCACCTTAATTTTAAAAAATCCAAAATGGCGGATCCAATATGGCTGACGTATTTTTAAAAAATTTATCAGATTCATTCGAAACTTTACTTGGGGGTTTTTTGGGGTCACTGAATACGAATTTCAGCTTAGTTTAAAAAAAAATTCATAATGGCGGATCGAATATGGCCAACGAATTATTAAAAACTTTATCAGATTTTGAATTTTTGAAAACTAAGGTGAAATTCGTATTCAGCGACCCCAAAAACCCCCGAGTAACAAGTTTCAGGTGAATTGGGTGAATTTAAAAAAAAACGACGCCATAATGGATCCGCCATCTTAAATTTGGAATATTTACAAGTTTCTTTGATTCTTTAACATTGTACAATTCATTATTTTCATAAATAACAAAACTCATTGCAGAATTTCAATTACTTTTTATATACAAATTTTAATGGATTTTCTCGAAAAATGTAATTATTCTCCAAAATTCAATTATTTAAAAAAAATTTAATAAAATTTTTGGCAAAATTTCAATTATCTTTAGTAATAATTCAACTCTTCATTGAAATTCAATTATTTTCAAAAATTTTAATAAAATTCTTGTCAAAATTTCAATTATATTCAAAAAATTTCCTCAATTAATAATAATAATAATTTTCAATATTTACTATTTTAATAAAATTGTCCAAAAGAATTCAATATTAAAAAAAAAATTTAATAAAATTCTACGCAAACCTTTAATTATTTTCATAAAATAATAAAAATTTCACTGGAATTCAATTATTTAAATTTTTTTTATAAATTTCTTTGCGCAATCATTCAATTATTTCCATAAATAATTAAATTTTTACAGGGATTCAATTATTTTCGTAAATAATAAAATTCTTTTGAGAAATTCAATTATTTTTATAAATAACAAAACTCATCGCAGAATTTCAATTATTTTTTAATACAATTTTAACCGAATTCCTCGAAAAATATCATTATTCTTACAAATTTTATTAAAATTCGTCAAAAGAATTCAATTATTTAAAAATTTATTTGAAAAATTCTTTATGAGAATTCAATTTAAAAAATATGCAATTATTCAATAAATATTTTTTTTGTATTTAAATAATTGAATTCTAGTATAAAATTTTCTAATAAAAATTGATTCAAATATGAATTTGAGTTAAAATTTTAGATTATAATTGAATATTAACAATTCTATGGAATTAATTTTTTTGAGAAAGTTTAATTGCGGATTTTATTTTGAAATTATTTCAAGTTTTTATTTCCTAATATATATTTAGTTGAAGAATTTACAAATAATTGAAATTTTGTAAAATTGAATTTTAAACAAATGAATTTGAAAATTTTCAAAGAACTTTTTCAAAAAATTATTAAAAATAATGCATTTATAGAAGAATTTTTGTTAAAAATACAAAAAAAAAGTTAATTTTGGAAAAGTTACTTATTGCAGAAATTCAATTATTATCAAGAGTAAAAATATTCTTTGCAAAAATTAAATATTTTTAAAAATAATAAAATTTTTCTTAGGGATTCCAATTATTTTCACAAATAATAAAACTCATCGCGGAAATTTTAATTATTTTTAATACAATTTTAATCAAAATTTAACGAAAAATTTAATTATTCTTAAAAATTATATTAAAATTCGTCGAAAGAATTTTAATTACCTATTTAAAAATTTGTTGATAAAATTATTTGAATAAGAGTTCAATTTAAAAAAAATGCAATTCTTTAATAAATTATTTATTTTTGTTATGGGAATTGAATTTTAAGAAACATTCATTTGTTCAATAACATATTTAATTTTGTATTTGAATAATTGAATTTTAGTATAATTTTCTAATAAAAATTGATTTAAATATGAATTTCAGTCAAAATTTTAGATAATAATTGAATATTAAACTCTTTAAATTTGAATTAGTAAAAATGTTTTCTAATTTGAATTAGTGCTTTTGATTTTTGCTTTTGAATTAGCAGATTTTACTAATAAATATTATAGCGTGAATTTTTAGAAATAATTGAATTTTGAAAAGGTTTCAAATTATAATATTTGAATGTTTGAAATTTTCATACTTTTAATTGAAAATTGTGTAGATTTAATTTTTTTTTAAAAGTTTAGTTGAATTTTTTTTAAGTTATTAGAAATTTTTATTTTCTAATATATATTTGATTGAAGAATTTCCAAATAATCGATGAAATTTCGTAAAATTGAATTGTAAACAAAACCAAAGGATTTGAAAATTTTCAAAGAAATTTTTTAAAAATTATTAAAAATAATTAATCAGTCGGTCATTTTCAATTATTATAAAACATGAAGATATCGATTGACTCGAAGTGATCGATTACGTCATGTTTTATAACAATTTTTTTTTAAGTTGTTTAATTTCAAAAAGGTTTGAATTTCAATCTTTTAAAGAATTTTAATTTTTATGGAAAAATAATAATTAAATATTTAATATAAAAAAGATAAATAGATGCGAAATACAATATTATATGAAAGTTCCATGTATTAGTAAAAATTTATTGAAATTCTTTAATTTTGTAAAAGATAAATTTAGTTGTAAAAACCTCGAAAAATTCCGTTTTTTAACCTGGAAAATCTGGAAAAGTCAAGGGAATTTGAAAAGAGCCGAAGCGTGGCAACCCTGAGATTAGAATTATCAGTTAATTAAATAGTGGAAACATTTGTTCTTCAAATTTATTTAAAAAAAAAAATTATTTAATTCTTTGGTCTTTGGTTTTTTACTGCTTCATACCTAAGACACACGTTAGATTATAATTTAAATTCCATTTCTATAAAGCAATTTTTAATTGTCTCCTTTTTAACAGGTACGATATGAATATTGAACGCTCGCCAACAAAAACAGTGCCGAAGAATTTTTATCAGCATCCTGAATCGCGCGGTACATTTCAAATGGATGGCTTCTTTCCACAAAGTATCAGGGAGACTTCAGTTTTTCCAAAAGAGAGCATAACACCGGAAAGATGTCCCTTCGATTCATTCGATTCAGTTGATGGAAGAGTGAATGATTCATTTTATAGAACGGCAAATGAGGGACGACGATATATTGCCGATGGAGAAAAGCTCGCTAATTCAAATTCATCAGACGAAGGCAAGGGATTTAAAGTTGATGGTGCTCGAGCATTAAGGTACCGTGAGCCAGAGACACGCTTCAGTTCAAGTAGCGAGAGCGAGAGGAGATTTTCCTCATCACCCGAAAAAATCAACGAATCCAATCACGATGACAAGCAACGTACCAAGCATCCCGTTAAAATAAAAATATCCAAACAAAAACAATTAAATGAAAATAATGAACTCGATTCAGATACGAGAATTTATGGCAAGAGTCCAAAGTTTGACGATAATTTCACAAGTTTTCAATCAGTTAGCGAGCAAATGAACGATAGACGAAGTTTAAATTTACGCGATGTGGAGAGTGGACGCAAATATCATGGCGAAGATGTTGAGGATGATGTTCTTCGAGCACGTGACGGTGTTGTTTTTAATACATTGGAAGGTTTTGGAAATGAGGATATTGAAAATATGAATTTAGAACCAATAACACCGTTTTATTTTTTGGAAAATACGGATGAGAAGTGTATTAATAATGAGAGATCAAAAGTTCATGATTATTTACGTAAAAGTGAGGAGAGAAAATTTAGCGTTGGACAGATTAAAAGACCACTGTCACAAGATGAGGATGTGTCCACTAAAAGTGGACGTGTACTGGAGAGTCCTGAAGTAACACCCAGCGAAGTTGGAAGAATGTTAAATCTTGGAAATGTTTTTGACGGCCCCCGTCAAATTCAAGCGAATAAATACTTGAGTATGGTCACTCTTCACTTGCCAGTAATATTGAGACTCAGTGTCAACTGTCCTTTTCGCAATGTCAGAATAAAATGCGCCGAGATACTCGAGATGGTCAAGGTGAGAATCATTTTTAATTTTTTATTAAGTTATCAACTGCTTTTTTATTCTTTAAATAAAATCTTAAAAGTATTCTCTATTTGATTTAAAAAAAAAAAAATCCTCTATAATTTATTGTAAAACATGAAGAAATCCGAATTGAAGACTCGGAGTAATCGTTATCTTTATGTTTTATAACAATATTTTTATAAATCGTTTAATTTAAAAAAGGTTTGAATTTAAAATTTTTTAATGTCTTAATTCCTGTGGAAAAATAATAATTAAATATTTAAAAAAGAAATTATTGTTTTTGAATAATTTTACAATTAAAGATATTCGTAAATATATTGAACAGAACATTTATTTCAATTACAATTTTTCTTTCTTTTCTTTAAAAAAAAAATTAAAAAATTTTCAGTTTCATTTTCAATTAAATTTTCTAATCTAAATATAATTTATAAAGATTTTTTCCCTTTATTTTTAAAAAACTTTGAATTTTATTAAAACTTAATTGAAATTAAGAAATAGATTTAATGAAAATTATTTCCGTATGAAAATTGAGAATTTTCTACAAAAATATTACGAAACGGGAATATCTAATGATTTTCTTCCCAAAAGAAGTCAATAATAAACAAAATAACTATTAATCAATCGAAAAAATAATTCAAAGGAAAATTTTGTTTTAAACAAAATTTACCTTTGGAACATTAATTTATTTTAAATAAAGATTTAATTTTTCCTTTCTAAAAGAAATAAAAAAAAATAGAATCTCAGACATTTGCACAAATCAATAAAATACCAGCATTCGGGATTTTTTATATAAACATTCCTAATTATTTTTATGTAATTCATTTCCTTTTGCTTATATTTTTCTTATTAGGCTTTTAATAGTCGAAGAATTATACTTAATTAGTTTTAAAAAATTGATAAATTATTAACATATTTTCATAAATAGAAAATGCGACTGTATCTATTGAAAGATAAGTTCATTTATAAGTAGAAACAGATGTCATTAGTCAGGCAGTGAGAAAATGTATGATAAACAATTTGGAACGTAGTTTATTATCTTATTTAAAATCCAAAATTTGAAAAAGTTATCTGATTAGTAGAAAAAGGAAATCAAGTGGGACAATAGTTAGTTTCTAAGTAAAAACAGTTGATATTAGTCTGACAATGAGAAGAACGGTAAAAAATTTGTACAAAAAAGTATATTTGTTTATTACAATCCAAAAATTGTATAGAAATTATTAGATAAGTAGAAAAAGGGAATCTATTGGAACAAGAGTTTATTTTTAAGTAGAAATAGTTTTTATCAGTCAGACAATTAAAAAAAATTTTTAATTCCGGTAAATACTTCATTTACCTATTTAAATAGGTGCATATATATATTTAAAGTAGTTTTTGTCTGCTTCCTATACTTCTATTTTTTCCTGTAAAATTAATTTAAATTAAAAAAAATGGAAAGTAGTTTCTAAGTAGAAACAGTTGATATTAGTCAGACAATGAGATGAACGGTAAAAAATAAGTATAAAAAAGTTTATTTTTTTATTACAATCAAAAATTGTACAGAAATTATTTGATAAGTAGAAAAAGGAAATCTATTGGGACAAGAGTTTATTTTTAAGTAGAAAAAGGTTTTATCAGTCAGACAAAAAAATTTTTTTTTAATTCTGTTAAATACTTCATTTACTTACTTCTACTTCTATTTTTTCTTGCAAACTTAATTTAAACTACAAAAAAATGAAAAATTGGAAAGTTATTTCTAAGTAGAAATAGTTAATATTAGTCAGACAATGAGAAAAACGGTAAAAAATATGTACAGAAAAGTATATTTGTTTATTACAATCCAAAAATTGTATAGAAATTATTTGATAAGTAGAAAAAGGAAATCTAGTGGGACAAGAGTTTATTTTTAAGTAGAAATAGTTTTTACCAGTCAGACAATGAAAAAAAAATTTTTAATTCTGTTAAATACTTCATTTACTTATTTAAATTGGTGCAAACAAATAAATGCAAAGTAGTTTTTGCCTCCTTCCTATGCTTCTATTTTCTCTTGTAAAATTAATTTAAATTAAAAAAAATGGAAAGTATTTTCTAAGTAGAAACAGTTGATATTAGTCAGACAATGAGAAGAACGGTAAAAAATAAGTACAAAAAGTTTATTTTTTTATTTAAAATGCAAAAATTATATAGGAATTATTTGATAAGTAGAAAAAGGAAATCTTTTGGGACAAGAGTTTATTTTTAAGTAGAAATAGTTCTTATCAGTCAGACAATGAAAAAAAAATTTTTAATTCTGTTAAATACTTCATTTACCTATTTAAATAGGTGCAAATATATTCAAAGTAGTTTTTGTCTCCTTCTTATACTTCTATTTTTTCTTGTAAAATTAATTTAAATTAAAAAAAATGGAAAAAAATTTATTAAAAGTTCTTTGAAAATTTCGTTAAGTAGTCAAAATTCTTTAATTATTGAAATTTACAATTTTGATGCAAAAAATCGCCCAACGTGGGGCTCGAACCCACGACCCTGAGATTAAGAGTCTCATGCTCTACCGACTGAGCTAGCCGGGCTTATACTTTGCAAAATCAGATCGATCTTTTCAGCATTCCTCCAAATATTTTTGCTTTAGCTGCTAAATTTTAGTTAATTCTGCCATAATATTTTATTTAAAATTTTTAAATTTAATTTTTTTTTAAATTTTTTTTAATTTACTTTTTTTTTACCGTTTTTTATTCTCTACAATTTTTATTGAGTGTTTTTATTTATTTTATTATTCATTAAAAAAAAAATTTTTAATTTTCAATAAAAAAAAGTTTGAAAACAGCAAAACTTTGGATTAAGAAAAATTTTTTTTTGTAAATAATGTTTTGCATTCACAAACAACGAAATATATTTTCCCATTAATTTATTTTATTGCCCGACTGAAATATAATGTGAAAGTTTTTATATATGATTCAGGAAAGAGGAGTCCCAGTGCCAAAGCCAGTATTCGAGGGTCCCAGTGCTTTCGTTCCAATATCGGAGGTGAGTTTTTTTTCTGTCACTTTTTATATGTATATAAATATATTTTTATGATATTCTCAAATAATAAATCGTTTGCAAAATTAGTACATTGACTTTGATAAATCACAAAATCATAATAATCAGTTCGTTCGAAAGTATAAATTACTAAAAAGGCCTCTTGACATATACTCACTGGCAATTTAATTTTATAATAATTGACGAGTATAAACATATAAGTCGACTAATAGTATAGAGACATATTTATACTGTATAACAAAATTATATAGTATTGTGCCGTTGCCTCAGCAAGCTTGAAACTTAATATATGAGAATAATTTTTTAAAGGAATAACCAATATTTTCCAGAGAAAAATCATTGTAGCTTTCTGAAAAAATTATTTAAATTAAGAATTTTCAGTAAAAAATTGTTACATTTATTTTATTATATACATTTTCATCATTCTTTTATTAAAATAAAAATAAATATAAAACGCAAGTAATTCTACTTTCTAACTTTTTTAAAAAAATATTAATTTTACTTACAAGTAAAAAAAATTTTTTTTTAACAAATAAAAAGAAATTTATATATAAATTTGTTACTTACATTTCTTATTTTTATTTATGATTCCTTATAATTAAGGGAATATTTTGTAGTTAACTTTACAAAAAGTCTACTTAAAGATATCAGTTAAATTAATAATTAATTTACTACCTGAAAATCTGCATGAAAAACAAAACAATTAGAGACAATTTAAATCCATTTAAATCTGGGACATTGAATATTTTGAAGCGACAAACGCGGACACTGGGGCAACTAGCATGAAATATTTTTTTGAACCACTGTTGATAAACTAGAACTCTTAGTCTTTAATTTTGCATTTTTTTTATTATTGCAAAATTGATGATTACTATTTCTAATTTTTTTATATAAAAAATAAAATAATAAAACCAATTTTATAAATTTTAGAGAAAGTTAGTAATTATTGAAATTCAAGTTTCTCGCAAAGATTTCTGTCATATCGACCGTAAGACCTTTATCAACAGCCTCTTTATTATTTATTATCGTCTGACCATAATGGTTAAACTTTCCAACTGTAATCAAAATAATGTTGGTCAATTGTCGAGAATTTAAATTTGGGTAATATAGGGCAGGGTTCAGGGAATTAAGCAAGTTTCGAGAAAATTAAGTTTAGTTGTACTTAAATAATTTATGATTATTATTTTTAGAGGTATAAGAATTTTTAAAGTTTTTAGAATTAATTTAAAATCACTTACCGAAAAGATTTATTTATTTCTAAAGTTAAAAAATTAGTATAAACATTAATTTTTTTAAAAATTTTTTCTTTAATCAAACGAGTAAATATGCAAGCAAGGTAGAAAGAAATACTCTTATGTATCATTTATTTTTCCACTTACCTGCCGCTTTCAAAGTTAACCCTCATTAAAGAAAACCTTTTCTTTTGTCATAAAAGTTCATTTAATCTCTAACAATTTTTAACGAGTGTTCTATTGTTCTTTCTCAGGTCTTAAAATTGAGAAACTTTAGATTTAAAATTTTTTTATATAAAAAAAACGATATGTTTAATACTAAGTTTTATTTAAAAATATGAATTTTTTATTTCTTTGTAAACAATTGAATTTTAATGTAACATTTTTAAAAAAATGTTTTTTCTCGTAAATGTATTGTCGGATGTTGATGAAAGTTTTATAAAGAATTAATGAAGATTTGAGCTTTTAAAAAAAATTTATTTCATTGTTGAAAGAAATTATTATTTAATAAGAAATTATTATATTGTTACGTCACCGTAACCTATTTTCAATAATAATAATAATCTGTCGAATAATAATTAATAATATAGTAATCATAATAATAATATTCATAATAATTATAATAAAGTTGGTAACAAAGATTGTTATTTACATATTATTATAAATAGTAACTATAAATAATAATAGATAAATTATCAAATAACAATAATAAACAATAATAAATTGTCATAATAAATATTAACAAATAATAACAAAATTGTAATAATAAACAATAATAAATTGTCATAATAAATGTTAACAAATAATAACAAAATTGTAATAATAAACAATAATAAATTGTAATAATAAATATTAACAAATAATAACAAAATTGTAATAATAAACAAATAACAATATTAAACGATTATAAATTGTAATAATAAATATTAACAATAATAACAGAATTGTAATAATAATTAGGAAATTATAACAATATGTATATACTTTATTTGTACTTTATTTTTATAAAGTTTATTATAGAAATTTCAAATCTTAGAAAATTCGAGGCCCACTTCACGAATTTTCATCCATATGATTACAAAAACTAACGAGTTTTCTGTCCCCTTTTTTATTTCTTGTTGATTTTGAAAATGCATCAAATAATTTTTTTTTAAAGTCTCAGTTGTTTGTTTATTTATAATTTATTATAGCAATATTAAGAGTGAAATTTTAATTAATTTTCTTTTTTCTCATTTTTCATATTCTGACAGTGAATATTACCAAAATGTAGATAAAATCAACTGACTGACAATCAATTCACGATAAAGTTAATTGAATTTTAGTCTGTAATTTTTAAACTGACATCAATTTATGAAAGGTTAACAAACATGCGTTTCCTGACATTTATCAAATAATTTTAATTGAAGAATAAAAGACAAAATTGGTTTTCTCATTTAATTTTTGCTTGTTTTCAAAAAAAAAAAAATTATAATTTATAAATGTTTAATCTTCGAACGATTCTGATTATTATGTTTTTAATTTTTATGATTATTGAAAGTTCGATGATATTTAATAAATTATGAAATATTTAATTAATATAATTTTTTTCTCGTAAATGAAAAAATTAAATTATGATATAATATTTTATTTTTTTTAAATTTTATGAAAGTTGCTAATATTTTTCATATTCGGCTTCGAGTCTGATTACTCGTTTTTTTAATTTTTAATCAAAAATCCATATAGAAAGGAAGTAATTCGATAACGTAAAATTTACTTTTTATTTTGAATTTGAAATCCTCTTTGAGAGAAAATTATTTTTCAACATAATTAAATGCTATCTTAAATTTATACTTTTAAGTATTTTTTCTTTGATGAGATGAAAGCGCGCATCCCTATAGTAGCGAGAATAGTTTCCATTTATCCGACATCATGAGAAATGTTTGAAGGTTTTCAATATCCAATTTCAAGAAATGCGATAATTTAGATTGCATCTTGTGAATTTTACATTTCTGTTATTTCTTTATGTGGATAATTTAAAAGAAAAAATAGATGAACAATTATTTATATTGTTTCGGTGACATGTCTTTGGTAATAGTGACAAAGATAACTTTGTATGAAAAACTGGTTTGTATAGAAGTTTTGTAAATGTTTTTCAAGTTTGCCATTTATCAAACTTGTTACGAATTTTTATAAAACAACTTGACAAACTTGTTTAAAAAGCAATTATAATTATTAATTGAAGAATTAAAAGCTAACAATATCAATTTAGTGGGTTGTGAATTATATGTGTTTTCTGGTGAGTGAGTAAAATAAATTATCCATAAGTTCTTATGTAGCAAGGTAAGTGTTCTTTTAATAATAATCATCCAGTTATCTAGTAAGCATTATCTCAGCAAACATTTTCAAATATTTATATAAAAAGAACTGTCAAATACAGAATTATGTTTCCTTGAAGAAATTGAGGGGCGCAGAAAAAAGGAAAAGTATTATTTAAATATTGCAATCATTAAGAGAAAGAAATATTTTTGTGTATAAATTCTTTGTTCTGCTATATTGACTGTCACTTATATCTGTTTAAAAAAAAATGTTTCCTAAGATTATTTCAATCTTGTTATATAAATAAGTGTTTAGAATCATCATGTTTATCATCTTCAGGTGAAAGTTTTTAATTATGGACAAAATAGATCTTGAACTTTGAATTTTGACTCGTTTTCATTTTGCCGTTATAGAGGAACATAATGAGCATATTAGTGGAAAGGACTTCTAAAGGTAATGGGCGAACCGTGTATAGTAGAATCACTATTGATTATCGAGTTAAGGTAGTATATTTTACAAGAGGCTTGTTTTAGTATTTGACTACTCGAAAAATTTACAGATGAATTGAATTTTCTGTTTGTTTTCTTTCTTTCGTCGTAATAATTTAAAAGTTTACGATTTGACGTATATTGTAAAAGTGAACTTTACGAACCTAGAATCAGTTTAAAGGACGATTCTGTCCAGCATTTATTTCTAATTTATGACTAATGTAAAGTCTTGAAAGTTTCTTTTCGGAGGGACTGAGAGGTTGATACAAAGTTGGTATTCTTCAGAATTTACAAAATGATCGTCCACATGCGCAGTTCTCATAACATCTTGAGCGGATAAATTTATATAATGTGCACAAAACAACGAAAATGCAAATTGTGTTCAAAATTTTCATTAACATTTTTGCTCATTATTCGAAAAAGTTTTTTTTTATAAAAGTTGTATTCATCAACGCGTTATCTATACAGTTATTGCTTGCATTTTATGTTCTAAATCATTTTCTATTAGAACTGTTGAAAATAATTCGACGATAGCTTTCCCTTTATGGATTACCGCATTCGATGGTACAAAATCACTAAAGCTCTCTGACCCCAATCCTCATCAATAAAGTGATCAGTAATTCCATAGTATCAGTATGATTTCCCTTTCAAAGGGTCTTTGAATATTTCACTCTGATGATTTTCTAAGTATCGAATTCCAGAAGTGTTTTTTCCATTACAATCGATAAAATCAAATAACCAAGAAAATTAAATCTTAATGTACAATACTATTCGCAAAGTACAGAATAATGCTGCGAGAGTTTTAGCAAGAACAATTCTTTATGATTGATTGTATTTCACTGTCGAATATTAAAGAAATAGCAATTTTAAATATAGCAATTTTAATATTTAACCAATAGTAACAGTATTTACTCATATTTTGGCTATATTTCAAAAATACAATTTCTTTTGTTTTAAATTTCGACTATAGAATTTATAACGAGGAAGTTAATGACGGGTAACATAATTTCAGATAAAATGTACATGCAAACATCATTTGAAAATTGATAAAGCTACCTTTCATCAATAAATCGCCGTCAAAACACGTATATATAGGTATATAATGAAAATAGTAAAAGTAAATTCTGTAGATATTATTTTCGTGGACGTTTTTATTAACTTTTCCGGTTGTATAATTTCCTTTAGCGTGTCAATATATAAACTGTAGATTTTAGAGTGAATTTTAGTTTACCATCGAGTATTTTGATGTGAAATATGCCAGAAATTCTCGTTTTTTCAATTTTTTTTTTCTATTTTTTTTTTTTTTTGTATCTAGAGCAAGCGGAATATTTCTCATCATTCACTTCATGTTTCATTGTTCCACATCTCTTTATTGTGGTTTCGTTTATTCCAACATACAAATAACAAAGTTTAATCTTTTCATATTGTTTTTTTCCCACGACATTCAATTATATTGAAAGATTTTTTATTATTGAAGTCTAAAGGTAGTTTGATTTAAATAGATTTCCAACTTGAAGGTAAGAAGTTAATTCTTTTTTTCTGTAAATGATGGGAAGTAATTCCCACCTTTCAATTTTTCCACTATAGTTTGTAGAAAAGTTTTTCTATCAATCACTTAATCAGTTCGTTGAAATCGATATTGGTTTACCTTAAGAGAAAAATATCTTTTGTCCTAATAGTTGAAGACATCTTTATTTCAAACAGTATATTAAAAACAATATGAAATTAAATGGTTTACCTTGGATAGAATTTATTTTTTTCATGCTTCACCATTTTTATCATTGTTGTTATATGTGAATGAAGAAATCTAATAATGTTTTCAATAAAAAGAACTAAAATTTGGTGATTCAAGTGAATGAAGACATTTCTATTCAAACGTAAACAAAGTTTTTAATCCCATTTCTAAATTTGCCTGGAAAAACTTCTACTAAGTTTGCGGGGTTTGCTTTATGTAAATTATCTTTCTATTCAAATGCTTGAAATTTATTCCGTATGCTTTACTTTACAAAAAAAAAAAAACTGTGAAAATACATGTATATTATCACGAAATAAATCCATTTTTTCCAAGCTATGTAATTTAGGTACCGTCAACAATGGTAATTATCAAATGAAAAGCGCCACTATTTTAAACAACTCTTTATTAAAATTCAGAATTTAAAAAAAACATAATTTTAGCCTCTGTTTTATGTTCTTCCTTCGGATTTTATGTGAGATTTTCTATGAGGTTCGTAAAAATTTTGCTAATAGATTAAAAATTTTCTTATATTATTAATATTACGAATCAGCAAGTATACTTTTATTGATAACCTTAGAATTGTCAAGGAGGGTGTTTCAAAAAGAATAATTCTTATCAGTATTGTTTTGCCGCACATATACTCTAAGAACGTAATTTCTTTTTCAATTTTATGAAGGAGATCAGAATAGAATTTACGTGTTTACGTACAATTAACTTTGTATATATCAGACAATTTACAGATTTTATGCGTTCACTTTCGATTCCGTCAGAAAATAGATCTTTGTCAACAATTTCAGATGAAATATAAAATAAAACACAAAAAAAATGTCTTCTTTCATGCTCCAGAAAATTTCACTTACATGTTGTTTTCAATTACTATTTTCTATTTTTCTATCTACTTTTCTTTATCTCTCAGGTTGTTTATGGAACTATATTTATTATTGTTTGTAAATAATTATTTTTTGATATCTGACATTTTAAATTTCGGTCCCAAGCGTAATATCGTTTATCGTAAATCTCTTATTCATATCATTTCTTTTGTCTTCCTTTTGAACTTTGTCCAAGAGTTTAATGCGAATATAATCAATGCGCAATTCTCTGGTATAGATAATGGAGCATTTGTAAAATTAGAATTCAATTCAGGAATGAAAATCAGTTCTTCAAATATAAAATTTAGAAAAATATTAGAATTATCTCACGGGGGAAAGTTTAATTTTCGATGGGGGCAGTACTTTGATGAAATATTTAAAGTAGTATAATTATTTTATATTATAAGAATATTTTACTGCAAGTTCTTAAAAAATATTTCCATATTCAATTATTATCTCAAGTTTAAACTAAAATTAATTTTTTGATCAATTTTTATTAAAAAATTCTACGAGAATACAAAGATTTGAATATAAAAAAAAACAATTTATTGAAGAAATTCATGTTTCTTAAAATTAAATTCTCATAAAGAATTTTAATAAAATTATTAAGAATAATTACATGTTTCGAGAAATTCGATTAAAATTGTATTGAAAATTATTGAAATTTTTCAATGAGTTTTATTATTTATGAAAATAACTGAATTCCTATGAAAAATTTTATTATTTTTAAACAATATTTAATTTTTGTGAAAAATATTATTACTCTTGAAAATAATTGAATTCCTGTAATAATTTGCAACTTTTCGAAAATTAAATTCTTTTTTCGTGATCTTAACTACAATTCTTCTATAAATTCATTATTTTTAATAATTTTTGAAAAAATTCTTTGAAAATTTTCAAATTCATTTATTTAAAATTCAATTTTACAAAATTTCAATTATTCCTAAATTCTTTAATTCAATATATAATAATAATAAAATTAAAACTTTAAATAATTTTTAAAAAAATCCGCAATTAAAGTTTCTCAAAAAAATTAATTTTATAGAATTGTTAGTTAAAAATATAAAAAATTTAGATTTTCAAATATTTCAATTTCAAACCTTTTCAAAATTCAATTATTTCCTAAAAATTCACGCTCTATTGCTTTTGATATTCAATTATAATCTAAAATTTTAACTCAAATCTATTTTTAAAATAATTTGTATCAAAAAATTCTACTAGAATTCAATTATTTAAAAACAAAAAAACAATTGAAAATAATTGAATTATTGAGAAGAACATTATAAAAAAGTAAATAATTGAATTCTTGTACAATTTTTATACTATTTATGAAAATAATTAAATATTTGTGTACAATTTTATTAATATTTTTTTAAAAATAATAATTGAATTCTTTTTGGTAGTTTTATTATAGTAGTAGATATATATTTGAAAATTTTTGAAAGTAATTGAAATTTTTCCAATAATTTTATTAAATTTTTTGAAAATAATTGAATTTTGAAGAAGAATATTATTATTTATAAAGATAATTGGGATTTTAACGAGATTTTTTTTTCAATTTTGAACATTAATTGAATTTTGTGATAAGAATTTGATTACTTTTGAAAGTAATTTCACTAATTTTAGATGATTTTCAATTATTAAAATTTTCCAAAAATTTAAGTTCTTTAAAATTTCTAATTAAGTTCCTTCAAAATTAAAATTTTATAAAGTTTCAAATCAAAACCGTTTGAAGTTCATAATTTATTAAAGAAAATTGTAAATGCAACTCTTTCAAAATTCAATTAATTTTTAAATATTTAAGTAAAATTTAAAATTAAATTTATTCATTATTTAATGAATAAATTTATGAAAATTAATGAAAATTAATGAATAAATTATTTAATGAATAAAAATTTATAAGTCATTATTTTATGATTGCTCTTCAAGAATTAAGTTATTTAAAAATAAATTATTGTCAGAAATTGAAAAATTCAATTGTTTTGTATTATAATTTGTGGTAATTTCATAGTTTACGAGACAAACAAAAAAGACACAAAAATTCAGAATTTTCTTATGAATTCTAAAAATTTAATTTTTTCCAGTATCTACTTTTAATAAAAATCCCTGACTTTTCCCTGAATTCTCTGTGTCTGAATATATGATTATTATAGTTATAATAATATTAAAACTATATTTCAATTCATATTTTATTTTTATGAAAATAAATTTGAATTAAAATTTTGTACGTTATATTATTTTTAAAATTTGCTAATTTTATTTTTAAAAAAAGTGAGTAAGAAATTATCCGCGCGCGAATAATAATTGTTGCTAGTAGAGAATTTAATTATTAGTTTCTTGTTATAATGAAAAAGGTGAAAATTGGAAAAAGGAAAAATATTTCGTAACTTGTAAATTTTTTTCCCCTGTAAAAATTGATGCTGGATTGTTCCACAATATTGAAATCCGATTTAACTTTTCTTAATACTCTTTTAAGAAAGGAATTCAGTGAGCACTTGTACATTGTTCGACCACTTTTATTTCCATTCAATTATGGCCTGCTACCGCTTTCGTTTGAAAATTCAATTGAATTTGTAGTTTCGAATTGTACCGCAATGCCTGACAAATAGTTCTCAATGCGTCCTGAATTCTTTTTCAAAGCACAAAATCTCACACCTTGTGCTTTGCCTCCTAAAAAGTAATTATAATAAATAAATAAAATGAATTCCACTATACGGAACGATTGGTTGAAAAGCAAGAAACTTTTATTGAATTTTATTTTTCTCTTTTCTACGTGTTTCAATTTTGCAAGGAGAAAATAATTTTCTGACTATGATAAGTTTACCAGACAATTATTGCAGTAACTTAACAAGGCAAGCTCTCTATGGATGGAACAATAACATAATTTTTTTTTTAATTTTTTAAAAATTTTTTATAACTTTTGTCTTTTTTTGTACCTTAGATCGACTTCTTTTTATTTTTTTCCACAATGTTCAACGAAAGTCAATAGCGAAACTTATTAATTGTATGATTATAGTAATTTTTCGTGTTAATTTGAAAAATAATTGACCAGAATGTGAGAAGATGTAACGCAAACTTGAACTTTGCCACGCGGTCGTCGACGCGCGCAACTTACCAACCAATAAACGAAAGACTCTCGCGGAATCGCGACGTTCATCTCTTTCCCTCCTCATTGTAACTCGTGCTTCTGGCAATCACTTGCGTACTGAACGCTCACCCAATAGGATGTGTTTTTTCAAATATTTTTTAAATACAAAAATACTTTGATTACTTGGAGAAAAAAAGTGTATTTTTATATATAATATTCCTAAGAAACCTAAGTTTCAATTATTTTTCACATCTTTCGCAAAAGTGTACTCTTTATCTCATCTCGTTTTTGTGCTCAAAGAATTTTAAGAAAGTTGAATATTAGATTTCACGTGCGTCACATTATCGCCTCAGGTAAGATGTTATTTTATCGCTTTTTTTTAAAGAAAGTGTTAGAAATATTACGACCCTGACTTGTTCCTAAAAGTTCAAATTCTTAAAAAAAATTGTTTAAATTACCGAATGGCATAATGACGTTCTTTATTTCATTAAAAATATTCTTTTTGTTTATTGTCAATTCACTTCTTATCCTGTCACCTTTATGTTGTTTTTTTTACATCGTACAAATTTAATTTATTTCAACATTTAAAAAAATAATTTTTTAAAATAATTTTTTAAAATAATTTTTTAAATATTTAAAAATATTTTTTAAAATAATTTTAAATCTTTTTTTAAATATTTGAAAATATTTTTTTTCATGTTTAAAAATATTTTTTTAAATTTAAGAAATAACTTTCTATTAACAAAAATGAAGTCAAAACTATAAGTTTTCGGAGATTTTAATTATTAGCACGAAGTTGTAAATATTTACAGATGAAGGTTACTAGTTTCTTCAATGAAAAGAATCTACATCTAGATTCGTATTTAGATTCGTCAAGTCCCTTTTTCGATCAGTAAGAAGTTTCAGATAAATATTTGTTCTATTGAATTCGAATTTTCAAAAAATCGAATTTCTTATTTACTTTAGCACCGGAATCCCGAGCTCCATGTATTGTTTTAATTTTTTAAAGTTTAAAATTTTTAAAAATGACTGTTTATACTCTAAATTTGAACCAGTTAGAATTTTAATTTATTTAAATCACTAACTGACTTTTTTTGTTATTAAATCAGTGAAAATTGAATGTAAAAGAAAAATATTTCTTTAAGCGATAAATCTGTAATTTTTAACTTTTAACTGAAAAAAAAATAAAAAATTCAGTTACTGTTTTAAATCAGGTTAAATTTTTTAATTTAAATTAAATTAATTAAACTTTTTTTTAACTCATTAAAATTCAAATTTAAAGAATACTTTAAGTTGGTAATTAAAATTTGAAAATGGTAAAATATTTAAGTTTATATTTTGTTATAAAATATTTAATAAGAATAAAACTTGAATTTTAATTTTATTATAAAATGATAGTAAAAAAAATCCATTTAGTTTGAGTGAAGAAAATTATTATTAACTTTATTATAAATAATCAAAAACTATTTTAAATTTTCAGAAGAAAAGAGAGATAATTAATTTTTATGATAAATCAATACGTAATGATTTTTTCACATAATATAATATTTAGTCAATGAATACTTTCTCTGCATTGGAAATTTCCTTATCTCAGACCTACTTTTACCTTGTGCAACTTTGTACGTCATTTAAAAATTATATGGGTTTTAAAATATTCACTCTATCGGTTTAAAATGAAATTTCCCTTCATACTCATTAACAATTTGTATTTCCGATAAAAAACTGTATAGAATAAATTCTGCATTTTATGCGAAGATTTTTCTTTTCTATCGTGTATATATGTAAAATCTCTAAATTATTAATCTTTTCATCGCAAAAAATTAACTTCACTGTTGATTTCAAAAGAAATTGTATCAAATAAAAAATTGATTCTAATTTTTGACTTCAATTTAAATCAATAATTTAGTATCAATTTGATACTTTGAAGAAAACTATATTATAAGAAAACTTATATTTGAAGTTTAATTCAATATTTTTTATAATAAATCAATAAATGTCTTTTCTCTTTTTTTATTACATCAAAAATTTATTTTTTAACCGCATTTTCAAATTGGTTTGAAAAGTATTTAATTATTTATGATATAGTTTACGGAATAGTGAGAGGAAAATAATTGTGGATATTTTATTAGAGAGTGACAAATTATTTTTTAGGAGACGAATAGGAATATTTGAATGGAGAATCGACAGTTTATTTTTGTGATATACTATTTTTGTATACTATAGAGTTTTTCAAATGATTTTTTTTCTCGAATTAAATTTTTCGAATTCTTGTGTTATACACATTTCTTCTTCTTTTTCTTCTCGACTCTAGAAATAAAGTGCGATATATTTTCCCTAGTGTTTCGAGAGTTGAAAATTGAACTTAAAACGTCCTTGAGAGCCTTGTGCTACTGACTTTTAAGAGTTGCGGTATATTTTTTTAATTCAATGAAACTTTGACCAAATACCTACATTCTGTAATTTTTTTTTTAAAAGCTTACAGAAAGCTTTTTTAAAAAATTTCAAAAGCATTTTCTTTGAATTTTGGAAAACAAATAAATAGAGTGCTGTAGCGTAAAATAAAGGGTATGAAGAATTTTTTATATCATTCATGTGAAAATATTCTAAAAAAAACAAAATTTTCTCTTTCGTGTCAAAATTTTTGAAAAAGGATTTTTTCATTTATTGAATAGCTCTTGATTTATTAGAATTCCTTTGAGCAACGTGAAAAATAGTAGGAATTCTTCATTTCTCGGATATTTATATTAAATTTAACATTTTATGAAAGCATTGGTTTTCTGTTTTATGTTTCTTTGTTTTTACCTTTTATTAATTAGAGCTTTTTAATTAATTTTTCCTTCTATGATAAAATATAATTTTATTAATTTTTGTGAAATTTTCTGTGGAGAATTTTATTTTTATTTTCTTGTGTACATGAATAATTTAAAATTTATTTTAATTGCAATTGTTCTTTGTGACTTTGTTGTGGCGCGTCGCGTGAAAAAAAAGTAAAAGACACCTTTTATGTATGTTTAACAAGGTCAATAAAATCGATGAATAATTAAATTTAAATTCTTATCCTTTAGCTGCAGTTTATGATAAAGTTTTTTTTATGCAATTATTGTATTTGATTAAATATATTTCAAAAGAATAATAGTTTTTGTTGTACTGGAGAAAAACAAGTATTTTTGTTGCAAACATTTTTAGCTCAAATAATTATTAGTTCTTTATGAACACAGTTCCCGAAAAAAAAAATTTGAGAAAAAAAATTTGAGGCTTTTATGATTAAATTCAATTTAAAGGTAAAATGTCCGACATTTTGTTATTTTTTAATATTTTAATTTTCCAACTGATTTGAAAAGAGGAACAAAAATCCAAAGGTGCAAAAAAAAATTATCCTAAATTAATTAAAAAGTTACAACCACCAAATGATTTAGTAATAATTTTACTATTAGTAAAATTTTATTATTTGTTGGTAGAATTCTACTAATTCAGATTTAAAGAGATTCGAAATGGAAAATTTTCTCTATTATTCCTAGCAACAATTTATATTGAAGACTTCCGGTTTGTTGTGTCTGTTTTTTTCTGTTATGAATATATTGTGACACTGTCTTTACACTACTCAATTATTACTTTTTTTTCTTACAAAGGTGCTACACTTTCATAGGTTCAGATAAGTTCATTGCTATAAAGAATTATGTACACAGGTGCATAAAGAAGTAGAAAAAAAATCACATTATCCGAAAATTTATTTGTCCAACTTCAAAAAAAAAATGCTGAATGTTTTAATAATTAGCCGCATGTGTAGACTTTGTAATTTTCTGTTTTTTTTTTGCAAAAACAGCAAAAAAAAAAGCAATTTTAAAAGTGCTGAATTCATTTAGCATAAGATTAACATTAAAAAGAATTTTAAATTAAAGTTTTTTTTTATTGTCGCATTTTAATTATCTTCTTTGTATTTTTGAAGTACTGGAGACAAATTCTAATGAAGCATTTTTCGTAATGGTTGAAAAGAGTAAATTTTCTTTTAAATCAATAGTTTATTTGCAGAATTGAGAACTTTTTGCAAAACTATTTTTTGCAAAACTATTATTTATGTTTAAAAATATTCCGCACCTCTTTTTAGTAGACAGTATATAATTATTCAAGGTTGCATTCAGTTTATATTCGACCAGCAAAGTTTACTTTTCATGAGAACTTTACTTTTTGTTTTCGTTGACCCTCAGAGAAAAATTTCTATTTATTATAAAACAGAATTATTATTTTTAAATTTTATTTTAATATTTCATATCGTTGTTCTGTTTATATGATTTATGACGTAAAAGATTATTTTGCGTTGTTGGAAAAAATCGGTTTTATTTTCATTTGAAAAATTTGTTTTCAAAATATGTATTTCGAATTCGAATTGACGTGTTTATTGGTTTTTACTTTTTTCTCTTTTTCTTCCATCTTAGTTGTAGTGCATTTTCTTTTTTAGCTTGCATTCAGTTTTCTTGGGTCAGTGACCTAATTATTTTTTATCTCGAGAAAATATTGCGTTCTAAAAATGTCTTTATAAAATAATATTATTGGTGATGATGCTGGTGTATATAGTAAACAATAAGAAGGAATATAAAAAGCTTTTCATTAAAAAGAATTTTCCGCTTTTTTTTTTGTCTTTGAAAAGGAATCTACTTTCAAGGAATTCAAGCTTTTGTTTTCATTCTTTCATTATTTTGCCATAATTGCTTTTCTTCCGTTCAATATTGAAAGTCAATGGAAAAATATATTAGTGAAGAAAAATTTGTTTTATTTTCACATGCAATCTATTTATTCGTTATAATAGGAAATTTGTTTTTTTCTGTGCGTTATTTTTTGTAATTATTTGAAAATTGAAAATGAAAATGTTTTTTTCCAGTTATTTTCATTGTTGGATTTTCGAATTAAAGAGTGTATCCCCTTTGTTCAGAGAGGGAAAATGTACGTTTTCTCTTGAGCCTGATCCAAAATGTAACTTAACTTCCGTTGACGTTTGCGAAACTCTCTTTCTCTCGTTTTCAGTATTGTTTGCGGCCTTCTGTTTTGTCTTTCTCTCATTTCGTTTTGGTATGAAACGTTCAGTCGTTTCCGGAAATGGAACACGGCTGTGAGACGCTTCCTGTGCCGCAAACTGTTTCCGAGATCAAGAATTTCTCATTCACATGCAGAGATATATTTTTTATGCAACTAACGAATGCTCAGATTGTTCTTTTTCGAAAAAGGGGGAAAAAAACAAATGATTATTTTTTATTTATTTTTTTATTTATTATTAATTTTAATTAAAATCTATTTTACTTTAAAACCTCAGGTTCTAAACAATTTGCAGCAAAAAAAATTATTTGAAGCCAAAATTTGA